CCTGACTTCGATCCTGCTTCGGGTCAGTATCGCCCTGCAGGTCCTCCACGCGCAGCTACTTCTAACTTGGCCAACGAGATGAGCCAATCTGCTACTCCTCCGGCAAAGAAGCGATTCTCGGCATTCAATACCAAGGCTGCTATGACGAATGTCTTCAATCGGCCTAGTAGTGGTACATCCTCGAAGCCTGGGACACCCACCTCCTCAAGGCCGATCTCAAGTCACTTGGGAGCTCAGCAACCAGTATCCCTGGAGCGCCCTGCTCATCCAGGCTTTGAGCGAAGTAGCACTGCCGGTCCTACCTTCAACCATATTCTTCCGGCTCCAACAGGTACACCGCCGGTTGATACTAACGAGCGCCGTAAGAGACGAGGTTCGGCTGCTGGGCTGATCTCCGGCCTTTTGGGACACGTCCACAAGAGCAAGGAGCCCCAGCAGGCTACGTCACCCCAGATGCAACAGCCTTATGATCGCCGCGCTTCTGGTTCCCAGCTTGGTACCCCTCACCCGCCGACCCTGCAGACACAGGGGAGAAGACCTTCGGGACCTCAACTGACCAGCCCTGTACTTCCAGGGGGTCAGCTTGGAAGCCCCCAAGGCCCTGCACCGCCATTGGCTAGTCCCCAACCTCAGAGGCCTCATCAAATTGGTGGCCAGCAGTCGATATCTAGGGAACAATCCCCGATGTCATCTGCCCAACCTTTATCTGGTGGAATAAGAGATAACCAGCACGCTCAAGCTGCCTACCGCAACTCACGTCCATCACCTCTAGGCTTTGGCTCTACCACACCAGCAGGGACTCCTCCTATCGGATCAGTGACTGAATCCAGCCGTCATGGGACTCCACAGACACCTTTCAGCGTGGGACAGAGTTTCCCGGACGCGCGAGCTAGAAGAATGCGATCGATCTCACCAGCTGCGTCCGCAATCAGAAGTGCCCCAACAACGCAGACCTCTTTCCACGTCCCAAGCACGGCCCCAACAACTCAACCGTCATTCCACCATGCGTCGCAATCGTCGCAATCGCTTGACAAACTCGCGCATGCAAAGCAGGAGGGAGCTCGGATCCAACGACCAGTCACAGACTCACCAAACATGTCCTTTAGGCATGAGAATAGGGCTAGTCATGGTGCATCAGATAATGACATGCCCTTGTCTCCAGTGTCGCAAATGTCCAAGACTGGCCCGCCGTCTGTATCGTCGATGGCTACTCAGAGTCCTCGTCTGAATACTACTACTTTGGCTGCTGGAAGACGACAGTCCTCCCAGCTTTCACAGCCTGACACGTCTGTTGTATCTGCAGTGTCTACTTCTCCACAACACCAGACCTTTGCCAACAGGATGGGAGTATCACCGCCACAGCAACAACAGCAGTTTCCTTCTGGGTTTCAACAACACCCTGTAAATGCTCAGCAACAGGCACCCCCTCAGATGAACCCTCAGCATGGTGGCTACCAGATTACTCCGTGTCAACAGTACGAGCCCAATCTCCGCCAGCCATCTGCCGGTCAGCCTATGCCAGGCTCACACCCACAAGCCACTTCTCCTGGCCGTCCACCTATGCAGATGCAGCACTCTGGCTCAGGCCCTCCGGTCCCTCCAAAGGACGGCTCGGGTGCTCTCCAGCAACCCCAGATTGCCAACCAGCCAGCTCGCCAGGCAAGTCCGGGAGCTTCAAAGTGGAAGGGTTTGAGGAATCGCATGTCGGCACAGGTCTCAAACAAGCCAGCATCGGGTCAAGGAAAGGGCGAGAATGACAAGCTGACTGCAAGCAAGATCCTTGGGGCTTTCAAACGAGGTTCCAAGGAGAATCGGCAGTCAATGGTCATTCCCGATCTGCAGGCTTATCAGAACCATGAGATGCGGCCTGTGCAGCGACAACAGCAGCCCCAGCCGCAATTTGCTGGTCAAGTAACGCATGGACAGACCCAATCTCCACGTCCATCGTCGCAAGTTAGCGGCCAACCTTTCGGACAGGTGCCAACTGCTCGCCCGTCATCTCAGTTCAGCAACCAGAGTATGGGACAAGCCCAAACCAAGCGTTACTCATCAATGTTTACCAGCCCAATTATGCCACAGCAAGAGTTCCGAAGCCCTTCTGGGGCTTTTGCTTCGGGACCCCAGGCTATGAGCCTGCCACAGCCACAGCCTGGCCACCCGTATCAATCTCCTCCTCAGATGCAGGGCCACTTCCCACCGACACAGTCGCCACAGACTCAATACCATTCTCCGCCGCAGCCCCATGGTCAATTCCAGTCTCCTGCCCAACAGCAGGGACACTTCCAATCACCTGCTCAACCGCAAGGCCAATTCGTGTCTCCACCCATGCAGCAGGGCCAATTCACGTCCCCCTTGCAACAGCAAGGTGGCTTCCAGTCTTCCTCACAGCAACAGGGACAATTGCAATCTCCTCCTCAGCCCCCGGGTCAATGGCAGCCCCAGTTGCCTTCCCCTGCTGGACAATTCCCACCACTCCAACAAAGACAACCGTCTTATCCTGTCCAATCGCATGGCGGAACAATTGGTCAAAGCCCAAATACGCCCTCGTCATATAGAAGTCCTCAACATTCTCACTTCTCGTCGCAGCCTCAAAGCCCGCAATATGGGTTCCCGACAGGACAAAATATTTACGGGGAGGAATCGCCCCCTGTCCATGTATCGACGCCTACTCAGGTTCACTCCCCTACACCAGTTCACGCCCCATCGCCTCGTCCTTCACTGTTGAATTTGCAAGCTATGGTTGCTGCCAACCCTGAACACGACCACACTCAGGAGGGAGAGCGTGAGCACTCAGATGCCGCTCCTCGAAATGACCCCAAGGCAACTCATCAGGGAACCTCCAATATACATAGGTTTAACAGCGACAGTCCTCATAGTGGGAGAACAAGTGGGAGTCCTAGAGTCGGTGGTAACCCTCCATCAGCGCAGCACGTTTCCCCAAGAATAGGCACAGAGCAGAACGGCAGCTCAAAGTCCCGAGCTCCCAGTCTTCCCATGCCTGTGCTTGCTGGAGGCGATTTCATGGGAGGCCATACTGTGCCGGGTACCAGTTCACGATTCTCGCCTAAAGCAGAGGAGTCTCAGGGCGTGTCACTCAGTCCCCCATCTGGCGCACCGGGTAGTGTCAGCCCCAACTCTACGAGGCAATCTCCACCAGGTGGTAGTGATCTAGGCCCTCCTGAGCCGAAGAGCAGGGGAGGCCCATCGTTCCACGCTGAGCTCGAAAATACCGAGGATGCCCGGAAGCGCACATTGCGAATTGATTCACAGGAAGAGAAGATTCACTACGACCCCAATGCTGACTCAGATGGAGAGGTTCCTCCTCAGATGAGCGCGACTAGTTATCCTGGACAAGAGTGGAATCCCTACGGCATGCCCGAGATAGGTGACTGGAACGAGGCGACGGACCGCTAAGCCACTCCTCACTACCTATTCACCAACCTATACACACACTGCATACTCATATACGCACAGCATATAACATGCTTCTACTACTCTACTCGAGATTGTTTCTTAGACTGCCAACCTAGCGATATAAGTCGACCTGTTACGGCCGCCCTTACCCCCATTCTTGGATACATATATTAGCCACTACTGGATATATCAGTGATTGGGGTTTTCTTATCTGTCCCAATGCAGCGTGGCGTCATGGCTGTACATATGTTTAATGTTACTGTCTATGCATTTACAGAATTTGTCAAGAGATGGAGCGAAGGGTAATAACAGAATGGAGAGACAGCATGGAAGGGGTGGAAAAGTACACGCATCACGCACATCTAATTGTTTAATCATTTATATATACATTTACACTCCTTATGGGCAGGTTAATAAAAGTGTTTTTCTCTGCAAGAATGTGAATCCTTTCTTACTGGACCTCAAGAAGTGAAATGCAGTGTTCGTCATGTATGGCATTATAGAACTATAAGAATTATTTGCGATTTTTCCTTTGAGACTCTTGAGACTCTTGAGTGCTCGATATGAAAATGAAGCTATCAAAAGTCCAAAGAAGCATTCCTGAAGGGTATCAGGGCCAAGATGACAGCCTGTGTATAATACGCAGCTCGGTCAACAACACCACCAGTCAATAGCCCAACCGAGCCCTGCTTGTTCTTTGAATCTATCTGTCCAAATACCATATCATCCGCGTGTCCCAGCTCAACACCCTCTTTCAGCAACTGACAAGTCTTGTCTGGTAGAAAATACGCCGAGGTCCTCGCCTTGCCGACCTTGCCATCTTTTCCAATGACAACAATCCAAGCAAAAGAGCAGATGGAGCCATTGAGAGTTTCAACACCGCCTTCGATGCCAACCCAGAAATCAGCTTCTGATCTGGCTGCTTGAGCGTTTTGTGCTCGATTTGTTGCACCGCGCAGAGTCTCTTCATCTGAGAAGGGCTGATCTGAGACGTTGGAGTCTACGCTTATGCTTTGGAAGTCATGGGAGTCTGGAAGCATTTGTGTGAAGCCATCGTGGGTTGCTTTGATTTTGGGGATGTTGTTTGAGGCAACGACCACAAGCTTTTGCTTCCGAGGGGGCTCCATTCTTGATCTTTGGAGGGCGAATTTCTTGGCGAGGACGTTGACGATGGTTCGATTGTTTCGAGATGTGCTCATGCCTTGGCGGTCAAACAATATTATGGGTAACGTAACGTTTATCCCTGGACATGGTCAGTTTATGATTTGTTGGATTGAGTTCAAGCCTGAGGGGTTTTGTACTGTAGTGGTTGGCTTGGACTGTGTTCCCCACCTGTAGCCGCTATTGGTAGATTCAACGGCTGCTATCTATCATATCAATCCTGCCTACCTACTAAGGTAGGTATTCAGAGCAGAGTCACGATAACCATTCAAAGTACCAATTTAGCTTTCGATAGTCCAAATTCCTTATCAAGATCTGCCCCTAAAATAGTTTATTATAGTAACTAGCCGCCAGCATGAGTAGCCTCAGCTATGCTAGCTACATCTGGACAGATTCTCCCTCCTTCAAGCTATGTCTCAAGATCCCTAAACCTTGGGCCAGTCTTGCTCTCTGATCCAATCTTCGACGCTTCCAAGTTGAGGAGGCGGGTTCAGCTGCATACATATCAGCTGTCATCACTATCTTGTTACAATAATCAAGAGAAGCTTACCTCGTTGGGATGAACAGCAGGAGAATCATCACCGCCATGAAGTCCAATTTCATTAGCGAATGCAAAGTTGTCCTGTAATTCAGCCCTTAACTCTTCTTTACAATCAAAAGAAAACTCTCCGGGTGGTATATGTAGTGATTCAGCCTTGTACCCCGTGACTTGACTGAATATTCGTACGAATTCCCGCGGTGTGATCCAAGCACGATATCCGACGACGCTTTTCCCCGGAGGGTTTTGAATTAGGGCTCTGACGAACGGACCAGAATCTTGATCGTGTGATATCAGGGGAACCTTGGCATCGAGGTCTAGGTTGTTTGCGAACTGTATGTTTCATTGTTTCCGTTCTCTTTCTACTACAGCGTCAGTTTGAATGTCGTTGGATTTGTACAGCTATTGAAATCAAACCTTGGTTGGCTGAGCCATTGGATGAGTCAAGAAGTTGCTGAGAAAGTATCCAGGGAGGTATACACTCGTCTTAGCCCAAAGCTCTGGCTGGCTTTGTTCACCGTACTCTTCTGCATCTGCTTTGGAGTCGTGATGGCAGACATTTGTGTACTTTCCACCCGATAATTTCGACGGCCCCGGAAGTGAAGACATGATGAAACGTTCCAGACTTGATACTCTGGCAGCTTCATCGATGATATTCTTGAGTTGCTGGGTTTCTTGTACCTTTGTCCACTCGTTGAGAGCCTGTCCCGGCTTTGGTTTATTTTGATTCTTTGGATCGTTGTAGATACCCCAAAAGTCGCTGACTGCGAATATGGCATTTGCGTCTTGGAGGGCTTTGGCTAGTGAGACCCTGTCGTCCAAGTCGGCTTGGACTACTTCGACACCGCGGGTCTCGAGGTTCTTTGATTTTTGGCTCGAAGGGCTTCTAGTGATGCCACGAACGTGCCATTCTGGATCATTGAGAAAAGAGTTGACGACTGATCCTCCTTGGCCGCCTGTTGCACCGATGATGACTATGAGCTTTTTGGTGGTCATCTTGAGTGTAGGTAGAGAGAGAGAGAGAGTATGCTTGATATGGTAATAGCCCATTACATCTCTAAGCATTATATATTTCTGAGAGAATATGGTCGATCATCCATTATTAATTGACCCATTCTCAATCTGTCTCGTCACGTTATTCTCATTTTCAAGCCTGTCCTACTGTTGATGTTGGTATTGGTTGGTTGGTTGGTTGGTTGGTGTCTTATACAGGAACGGTTCCACTAAAGTCCGCTCCAGATCCGCCTCCGTCTCACTCCTGCCTCCCTGTTACCCGCTCACCTCCGTTCTCAGCTCTCAGCTTTTCAGCTTCTCTCTCCTCTTCCTGTACTCAATCGATCTCTTCAGCCTATTTTCACGGTATCTCGCCCCCACATTCATGCTCACGCTGCAACCCAAGAAGCCCCTATTGATTCATAAGCTGCTTTACAATCACTGCAGATCGACGAGGTTGTCAACGTTACGCAGATCGAGAATTCGAGATGCCCGTGGCTCGCCATTCATGTGCAACATGTCGGTAAGATTAAGCCCTCATACCACGCGAAGCTTCTCTAACTTGTTCAGCCGCCTGAAGAGGAAATGCATGAGAGAGTTGCCATCTTGCTCCTTAGTACGGATCAGAACTGGGGCAGGCATAGCCTAAAACTGACGGCTTACAGTGTCGGCGCCTTGGCAAGAAATGTGAATATATAGAACTTCCACCACCTCCAACTGCTCCTCCGCCAGATGTAACAAGCCAGCCGTCTCTATCAGAGCCTAATCAACCGTTTCCCTTGGCCTTCTTCTTGGATCCAGATCTCTTCACGCCACTAACCGCCAGCAATGCATTAGCACCTGGGCCAAGAGTCGATCTGCAACAGATTATAGCCAAGCACTTGGAACCAGATGACTTGCCAGTCCTCTACCACAATTACTTTTCTTCAGTACATGAATGGCTTCCCATGATTAGCAGAAAGCGGATCACATATCCCGATCCTTTCAGTCAAGATGCTTGTCATGATCTGCTACTTTTATGCATGAAAATATGCACGCTCAGACCCAATGGCCACCCTCCATCTCAACACCCGTTGTACATGTTGGCAAAAACTCTATGTGCCGCTGCTGAAAGTGCAGGCCTAGTTTCACTGCGCCTAGCTCAGTCCTTGGTGCTATTGGCTCTCTATGAAGCGTGCCAGGCTATATATCCAGCCTGTTACCTCACCATCAGTCGGGCAGCGAGACTGGGCATACTAATGGGTTGGCATGACAGAGATGCACAACAGCTCTTCAAATTTGCTGATTCCTGGTCTAAACGAGAAGAACAGCGCAGAACATGGTGGACTATATTTGTGCTTGACAGGTAAGCTATAACTTTGCATCCTTGCGCCTCCCCCTAATGAACTATTCTCAGATTCATCAGTATGGACACAAGTGGGCTGCCATTTTCCGCTCCGGAGCCTTGCCCTGACGAGCTTCTACCAGTCAACGATGAAGACTGGGTTTTAGGTAAGACAGTGCCAAGCGAGCCACTGTATACAGCATGCTTCAGCTCTGTCACAACTCTGGGCTCCTTTGCTAGGACGTGCCAAGCAGCTCATATGCTCGGCAAGGTCATTACACACAAACATTTGAAAACCAAATCTTCGCACGATGTCCTTCATGTTGTCCAGGAAGCGCAGAGCCTTAATAGAGCACTAAACTCGCTACAAATTTCTATTGAAGAGCAATCCTTGAGCAACGTTTCTTCTTCGTCGGCATCCTCTCTAGCATGTGCTTCCGCCATTTGCATTAGTGCCCAAGCGCTCCTTTATGGAGCTTATGGTTGTCCTGACGCGCCTGGAATAACAAGTCGGGAACGCTTGACACACGAAACAGAATTGCAGAGTATCAGCGTTCAAGGTCTGAGAGCACTAGGTAGTGCTTTGACCCCTAAGCTGGCTCAGATTCAGTCAGATTGTCCTCTTCAGGCAAGATGTTTTTATACCGCTTGTAGTGCATGCTCATGGTTTATTCGGGAAGACAATGAACCACAGATGAAAGATGCGTTGGTGACTATCGTCGATGGTCTCAAGAGACTATCTGAACGTTGGCCCATTGCAAGTAAGTACTTCAGACTTTGTTTCTCTGGAGAGAACTGATGGTTTACAAGCTGAGTTCCTTTCTCTGCTCGAACACGGCGGGATTTTGCGTCTCGCTGATGCCAGTTTTGAGATGGAAATCACGTCTTGAAGTCTGATGCTCCTCGGTATTTCAACGGACTCTCAGGTTCAGAAATCATGAGATGGTGCTCGATATGCTGTCCAACATAGGTATGGCGAATGAGTGTACTAGCCTGATGTGGTCACCACGTGATATGGCTGGCCTCAATTGACCTCCGGACAGCATAAACCAGAATCTTTTCATTCACGAGTCACGGTATCCTCCATGAACAAAGCTCGTCTCAGTTCATGAGTCGACAGAGTCGTCCAAAAGCATGGCGCGATTCTTAGCAATTGAGTTCGTCTAAGTGGGCCTGTCATTCTGCCTTTGGCTTAGCCTCCTCTTTTGGTTGCTGGGTCCGAAATCGGTGGATCACGTCTTTCTTTTCGCCTCTGGCACTGAAGAATTCTTCTTATAAACATCTTCAACCCAATTCGCCCTCCCTTGGTGGATCTCACAGGGCTCAAAGGCGCTATTGAAGCTCGAGCTTTCATCAATTGAGCCGAGACTAACAGCAAATACACACAACACGAGCTCCAATGCCTTCGAGCGAACGTCGGCGCCGTGAGGGTCACCAAGACTCTCACTCTCACATTCACGATGGCGTGTTACACGATGAGACTTCGCCTTTGCTTCCGAGGATATCAGAAGTCAGCGAAAATGGAACGGCAAAGTCGTTGACTGACGTCCACAACTTCTTGGCTGAGGCGAAACTACTATGCCAATACTCTCTCCCTCTGATCGCGACGTATCTGCTCCAGTATTCTTTTACTGTCATTACAACTATTGTCGCTGGTCGCTTAGGTGCCGAGGAATTGGCAGCTTCAAGTTTGGGCTTGACAACGATCAACATCATTGGGTTCACCATCTTTGAGGGCATGGCCACGGCTCTCGACACATTGTGTGCGCAGGCCTACGGGTCTGGTCGCTATGCCGGCGTGGGAATGCACATCCAACGGATGATCGTGTTCATGTCAATCGTCATGATTCCTGTCGGCGCCATATGGCTGTGGTCGCACTGGATCCTACCATTGCTTGTTCCTCAACGAAGCCTCGCCTTGAAAGCTGCCTCTTTCTTGCGTGTCAGTCTCGTTGGACTTCCCGGTTATGCATTCTTTGAGGCTGGTAAAAGATTTCTTCAAGCGCAGGGTGAATTTGCTCCTGGAATGGTCATTCTCATCATTTGTGCTCCCGTCAATGCTTTTCTGAGTTGGTACTTTGCCGTCAAGCTTGACATGGGCCTTGATGGTGCTGCGTTCGGTCAAGCCCTTGCCAATAACCTTCGTCCTGCGCTTCTTTTGTTGTATGTCGTGTTCATTGGAAAGAAGTCTCACCGATGCTGGGGCGGCTGGGATAGCCGCGCTGCATTTGCGTTCCGCGAATGGGGCCCCATGGTCCGTCTCTCTGTTGCAAGCACCGCTGTGAATCTGGCCGAGTGGCTCGCCTTTGAGATCCTCATGGTCAGCACCTCTTATCTCGGTACCCGCCACTTGGCTGCGCAAACAGTACTCAACACGCTCTCCATTGTTACATGGCACATACCGTTCTCGATCAGCGTCGCAGTCACCACTCGCTTCGGTCACCTAGTTGGTGCTGGCGCACTCAAGGAAGCAAGACGTGCTGCAATTCTGTACACAGGCGTCTTCACCGTGGTTGGTATCCTCGACGGCGCATTCTTGTATGTGCTGCGAAATCCACTTGCAGATATGTTCTCCGACGACAGTACTGTAAGAGACCTGGCCACGGGATCCATGGTTGCTGTGGCCTGCTTCCAAGTCATCGACTCAATCATCTGCGGCACTAATGGTGTGTTAAGAGGCCTGGCAAAGCAATCCGTTGCTGCGTGGGTTGTGCTAGCAGTTAACTACCTTGCTGCAGTGCCATTTGCCATATGGCTCGCACTGGGAAGCCCAGACCTCCAGCTCGACGGTCTTTGGATCGGTCTTGGAAGTGGCATGGTCATTATTGCTATTATTGAATGTGTGTACATGAAGTGGATTAGCTGGCAGGACTGCGTTAATGATGTGAAGGAGAGGGAGGATGACGGAACATAGAATGATTTCGTAAGGACTTCACGCTTGAACTACATAAACAAAAGTTATGCATCTTCCGTGGCTCTTTTCAGCCACATATCTCAGCTAAGCAACACCCTTGGATGTAAAAGAACCCGATATCATGGGTTTACTAAAGCCAACGTCCCTTCGGTCACGCTTTCAGTCTTTAGGATAGATCCCAGCGATCTCCAACGCCGCATCATTGAGAAGCTGATGTCATTGACTTTCAGTTAGCTCGCGATTCACCAATATCCCTATCATTGTCCAGTTGAGGCTCGTCTGTAGCCAAGGAGCACCGGCATCTCGCAGAACAGTTTCATGGATAAGTAATCGGGGTTACTCCTTACCCGTGGCATCTCGGAGGTGGTGTAAGATAGCAGCAGCACATTCTGCATCAGGCCAGTTGTGAAGAATCAATCGTATGAAATACACCTTGGCTCCTTTGCACTCGACTGGCTGAAGAGTGCAGAAATCGTGAGGAGTAGCTTCGATAGATCTCGCGAAGTTCGCCGGATGACTTGGCTTCTTCTATGACTGCCAGAAGGTCTTGCAGTACCAATCCTCTGTGGACCGTTTCCGAAGCTAGGCCTAGCAACTCAGGACCAAGGCTACACCAACGTCAACCAGTCAAGGAGCATTAGCATCAGTATCCTCGCCCAGTCATTCTTTTTATGGGTAAACTTCAGTCCATCGGGGTCTCTCCTTAGCCTGACCAGCTATGAAACTGTCAAAACCTTTTCTCAGGCGGACATGAAGAATGTTACC